TAGCTAGCTCCTATAATTCGTTATATCTCTCTAATCTAATCTCAGCTCTTTTCGCGCGTTATAGAAAAAAAAAGGATTGATTAATACGAGCAGATATAAAACAGCAGGAGGCGCAGGAGCTGACGATACTGCAGATGTCCCCCGAATCATATTAACGCTCGGGCTTTCATCGAAGTCGACATAAGTAATTCCGCGTTTATTTTCCGGCTTTCGCGGAACATTTCATGTTTCGACAGGATATATCGCTCATAATTTTTCGTCGCCACGAATGAACGTGGGAGCTACACCCTATACCCCTTCCGCGTCCATCGATTGAGATTCGAATCGATAAATTGAGACGCTGATGCATCGATCGGAAAATAGGAAGCCGCGTGAAAATCTTCTAGCAATTTTTTATTTGAGCGAGCTATTTCGAAACTATGACGCGGTCACCACCAGCTCGTTTCGTCGAGCGTAAGATCGCGCGATTATTGATCGCGACGTAAAAGTGAGAGCGCGCCCACGTCAATTAATTAACGTCGGAGACGAGAGCGAGCGATATATTAACGTGATCGACGAATCGAGGATGGAACGTGCCGTCACGGCGGCGCGACGGCTTCTGTAAAGTCCTGTAACTGTTGGTGGTGCGTACACGCGTGACACGCGTCGGCGGCGACGACGTCCTCGGAGTCCGGGTCGGGCATGAGATTCAATGACAGGGAGCTCGCGGAGGCGAGCTTTGGACCCGCGGACCTGGAGGGACGTCTAAATCACAAGCGGGCTCATAAGTCAGGTTAGTTTAGTCGTTTTTACATAACGCGACGGGCCTAACCTGTCACCTGTCACTTGACGAACTTCTATGGAGAGAGAGATACGATTATACATATATTATAAATAATTGTTCTGTTAGAATTAGATCGCGGATTTTATCGTTATAGATTGTCGTATGCTGCTACTGCGCGATTACCTTCCTTCGGTTTAGACTTGAGGGGGAGTTTTTTTTTAAATCGCTATCGCCTCTCGAGACTGTAAATAGAGCTGCTTATAAAAAATTGTAAATAAAGCTGCTGCTTAAGAGAGTTTTGTTTATGGAGAATAATTGTACCGCTTTCTGGATCAAAACAAAGAAAGAATGTGTAGTCTGTTATAATATCTGTGGCTTAATGTCAATTGAAGGAAGGAATCAAAGGCGTATTCTAATTGTTGATAATTAAATTAACATCTATCTAATATATTTTTACTTTTATATTTGCTTCCAGTGTTTAAAGAGAAGTGGTTCAAGCTGCGATACAATCTACTGTTTTACTTCAACATCAATGACTTGGGGCACATTGATAGGAGGCAACCCGCCGGGGTCATCGTTCTAGAGAATTACAGCATCAATATAGATAATTCGTCCGAGGGGGCGTTTGCGTTCAGTATCTCGTTCCGCGACGAGCTGGAGAAGCGACATGTGCTGAGCGGTCGATCGGAGTCCCAAGTGGAGCAGTGGGTCAACGCGCTCAAGCAAGCGAGCTACGAATATTGGCGATCACGCCTGATCATGCTTCAGGAAAGATTGTGCAAGAAAACGGGAAAGGACCCGTTGCTCATGTATCCCAGAAATCAGGGTGTGGTGCGAGACGAAGCTTGGGAACCTGCCACCAGCTTCAGATCTCATGTACGTTCCTTTACGACGTCAGTCGCGCCTACATTGAATACAATAACGAGGGACGTTAATCTCATAGATCTTTAATACAGGACAATAATTTTAGACACTACCTGAATTAAAATTGTTAATTTTTAAAATTTAATATCTACAAATGCCGGCCTCGCGAAATTTATATTTTGAAGGAACAATATGTACATAATCGATGTAAGAAAGTTTTGTGGAAAACTGCCACGAGCGAGCAAGTTTTAGGATGCAGGTTCACAATAAGTATGTACGAGCTTTAATAATTTATATATTATAATAATAAGATAGTATACTATATAGAATTTATATTCTATGAGACAAAATGTAAAGGAAAATAGAAATATTATAGTCAGACGAAGTAATTTACTTCAAATAATAATGATTTTGTTTATTATAATATTAGAATGCGTTTCAAATCCAAAAGAGATTAAAAACAGTTATTAAAAAGTTAAATGTAAAAAGAAAACAGTCTTGTGAAAAAGTTATTATTTTCCTAATGCGACAACGAATATAGGTATACAAGAACAGAAAAAATTCGAATGATATAAAGTAATAATACTGACAAGGTAGTACGGATATAAAATATATGCAAGTAACATACAATGATATGAATTTAAAACTTGGTTTAATTTATAATAATATTGTAAAACAAGTTATATGAGTGTACTGATGCATATTTAGTAATTTTCGACAACTAAATATTAATATTGAATACTTAACCCTTAACGTGTACACGTGGGTCTACGGCGTCCGAGCTGAAAGTGATATCTGCTCGTAACTGTAAAACTTGCAAGCCTGTTAGAAGATATTAAATAAACGATGTTCATCAAAATGACTATGCAGTCGTCAACTACAATGTAGACAGATGTTTCATGAATTTTTTTTAGATTTCTTAAAATACTTTAAGGTAGGAAAAAATAGCGTTGAACGTGACAGACCCCCGTATACACTTTAAGGGATAATAATAAATTATGTACAATTCATATTGTAACACAAAACAAATTTTGTTATTTTTTGTGTAATCGCTACTTCTTCTACCTCTGTATAAATTTAATGAAATATTCATTTATCAAATACTCAATCTGTGTCTAACAAAATTCTGTAATAGTAACATTGTAAAGTTTATAATGAAAAAAATAAAGGTATTTTTATAATTTTTGCACTTTTCTTAATTTTATTATCAAAAACTGTATTAAATACTTTCTATACATAATATACTACATTTATATATGTATAATCTTCGATATCTTAATATAAGCATAAGAAAATGCTCCCCGCTTTAAAATAGCATATATCTATTTGTAGCGCGAACGCGCAGAATGATGTTTTATCGACAGTGTCGGAAAATGGACGTTGCTACGTAGTACCAATTTTTAAAATGGATGTACTGACGGTCCTACACGAAAAAGGCCGGGATAAGTCTTTCTATAGTTTATTTGTTTATTTATTTATTACATACTGTACACTGTACTCCGACAAGCAAGACAGCAAGTGAAGCAAGATGTATCTTCTGTTATAATTTTGATAACTGAGAAATTAATTCGTATAATAATAATAGAGAAAAAGGTATTTAAAATAATAGAGAAAAGATATTTAACACATTAAAAGAATTTATCACAGAACTTCATTATATGTAAGCTGTCTTAAGAAGAAGAGAAGAAAAATGAATATTGAATACAAATTCGAGAAAGAAATCGACTGCAAGCAAGGGGCCGTCAGATCTGTACGATTCAGTGGTAAGGAGACTCGTTTACTTTTAATACACTATTATTTTATCAGACATGTATATGAAAGCTGATGGTTTTGCGTTTCAGTGGACGGTTCGTATTGCGTAACGTGCGGGTCAGATAGGAAGCTAAAATTATGGAATCCGTACAAGTCTGTTACGTTAAAGACATACGGCGGACACGGTGACGAGGTTATGGATGCCTCCGCGTCCTGCGACAGCAGCCAGATAGTATCTTGCGGATTAGACAAATCTGTAATCGTCTGGGACGTGGCAACAGGCACGCCTGTGCGTCGTTTCCGAGGACACGCAGGACCCGTCACGACAGTCAGGTAAGTGTGTTGTTTGCAATTGCGAAGTTAACGAGTATCAAGATTATTACTATATTTTAGTTTAATAATCTAGTCCAGTGAGGATCGTTGCGAACAAATTTATTAAGACTTGTAAGTGCAAAGATGAAAAAGTGCTCTCTGTCTGACGACGCTAATTAAATTCTGTCTTAAATAAAGATGATTAAGTTCAATGAATCTAAAACTCGAATGTCAAATATAATGATTTTTATGTTACGACGTTTGAACACGCAATATATTTCTGAAACGTAAGTTCTTTCAGCTAAGCTCAATGTTTCCTATTGCAATCACAGATTTAACGAAGAATCGTCAATGATTGTTTCTGGATCGCGTGACAACAGTGTCATGTGTTGGGACGGACGTTCCAAGGCGCAAGAAGCGGTACAATCTTTGAACGACGCCAAGGATTCCATTTCGAGCGTGAGGGTTTCGGACCACGAGATCTTGTCCGGTTCTTTCGACGGCAAAGCACGCACGTATGATATACGAGTAGGTGAACTTTGCGAAGATTATATGGGAGGTAAGAAATAACGAATCAATGTAACGGATTACCGACTTCGCGTTGATTAGAAAGTAATACAGTATTATACAACACGATGCAAACTTTTCAGATGCGATCACATGCGCCAGTTTCACCAGAGACGGACAGTGTCTGGTCGTCAGTTGCGCGGACGACGTGATCAGATTGATCGACAAGGACTCGGGAGAGCTACTCGGCGAGTTCGCCGGACACACTGGGAAGGATCTGTGCCTGGAATCGATCGTGGACTGTCAAGACACGAGAATTCTTTCCGGCTCGGCCGACGGAAACTTGTGGATTTGGGATCTAGTGTCTCAGAAAGTGGTCGCGAAGCTCTCGGGTTCTAAGCCAACCAAGCACCCTACTGTATCTATAAGCGTTCATCCGCAGAAGAACTGCTTTTTGGCGTCTAACGGATCTAATGTATTGATGTGGAGCACGCAGACTCACACAGATAACGAGTAATAGCGAAGTTTGTTCCATTATTACCCCTTTGTGTACAGAGTAAGTCCGAAGTCTGTGATTTCCAAATAATTTTAGTTCCAACAATTTCTACAAGATTTTTTACAAACTAAATATTTATTATATGGTATATTAATGTATATATTAATAATAATAATAATATAGCTATTTTTTAAAGTCGAACTATTTAATAATTAATGGTTGCTTGTCTACTTGACAATTTTGGTAAAAAAAAAACTGTAAAAGTTTATTGTCTAGCAAACATTGCGTCATTTCGATGAGTTAAGAAATTATGTACTTTTAAACACAAACAGCTTGTATTATTCTGCGATCTTTCTTACAGTATCTAATCATATTTCTCAAGCAAGCATATATTTTCAGACTACTAAATATTAGTATTCGTGTGAGACAAACAACTAGGAATGACAAATTTCATCCATCGACATAAAGAGACAAACAAGGCAAAAAAAAAACAAAAGAATTCCATTTAAGAGTGATGCCTCGATTCGCACACAGGTGCGGGGTGCGTGCGCGTGCCGCGTCGGCGACGCGCGCGAGCGCAGAAATTTCACATCGTCATTTCTTCATCGTTCGCGGAAGGAGCGAGTAATAAGGAGGTGGTGCGTGGCCTTTCCGGGTTAAGCCGGGGCCACGTATCGTACGATTCGCACGCGTGACGAGGTGACGCGCGTGAAACGCTACTTTCGAGCGCCCGGCGCGGCGTTTCAACGCCGGTGCGCGTTTAGCGCAATGGGGCTGGCGGGGGGAGGGGGCGAGAGGGGGCAAGCGGAACGGCGAGCGCGCACAATGGAACGAGAGGAGCGAAACTGCGCGCGCAGGTGGCGCGATGTCGGTGCGTCAGAGCTACTGGTCGGCCGGCGTAGTCTCGCCCGGGAGAGCGCGCGAAGGAAAGAGAGAGAGAGAAAGGGAGACGGAGTGCGACGTTACTCGCACTGGGCGATCGAGCGTGGCACCAGAGAAGCGACAGAGAGCGAGAGAAACCGGCTGAATCGCAGTGGCGGATTATAGGACACGGAATTTGAACTAATTTCGAGACTTCCCGTCGCTGGTAAACATTTTTAATTAAGAAAGTGTCAAAGAGAGAGAGAGAGAAAGAGAGTATGAATGAATGAGAGAGTGAGAGGGAAAGAGAAAGAGTTTATCGAGTATATTATTCGCGGTTTAACTGGAAGTAATGATCATGAAGTTTATAATATATAAACGCGGAATTATAAAACGCATTTTTAAAAGTTTCCTGAAACATTGGAGTCTCCAGGCGCGAAATGACCTCGATGATTTCCTCGTTCGAATTGTCGGAGTAACGAAAATCGGGGAAGCCTTTGCGAAGCGGATATGGGACTACGATAATGATCGTCTTAATGGTCTCCTCTAATGGTTTGTTGTGATAACGGTCTGACGCTCATTCGCGTGTAAATGAAACTCGACTCTTTCTCGCGTAGCGCTCCGGAATCTAATTCGCTCCGAATTCGCCGACGATTTAAATCCCCCCTCCGCCCTGACTGAATCATTGTTTGCGACCGGGAACTTTTGCAGGATGCGACGAGAGGATCGAGCGCCTCCGCGTTGGAGATCCGCCCCGAGCCCCGAGCCGCCCGAAAATCGGAGGGCGCTGACGGCCTCGGCGCGGTAATCCGCCACTGGTCGGGATCGACGCAGCGGGCAGCAGCGGGTAGCAGCAGCGGGCGAGGAAAGGCGAGGGAGAAGGACGGATATACCTCGCGGGACGCGCACGGAGGTGGTCGCACACGGGGCGGGCCGGTCGGTCTCACCACTTCGCGGAGTGTATTTTTTTTCTTGCGCCGCGCGTAATCGCGAGGAGGAGAGCGACTGACAGGCAGAGAAGGACGGGCGACGAGGCGGCGAAGGTTGCGACTGACGAGAAAGACGGAGTGAGAGAGAGGGAGCGAGAGAGCAGGACAGCGAGATCGTCCGATTGACGGGCTCGACGGATACCGATGCCGGTGGCTGTTGGACCGCGTGGTCTCGCGAGGATGCTCCGTCAGTGATCGCCACTCCGTCCGACAGCGGTGTACATTGTTGTTGTTATTGTCGTTGATCGATATTCTCGCGAGAAGAAGAGAAGGCGCCAAAGAGAGAGAGAGAGAGATAGAGATAGAGAGAAGAAACCCGGCGAGGGGGCGAGCGAGCGAGGGAGAGGCAGGGAGAAGAAACTGTCGCGGCAGGAAGCACCGCGAGAGGTTGGCAACGGTGGTGGTGTGCCCGCTCTGCCGCTGGGGTGGTGGTGGAGGTGGTGGTGGTGGTGGTTCGCCGTGACACAGTGGTGGAACGGAGGCACGAAGGACACGACCGTGAGAGAAGAAAAGAGGGTTGTTATGGGGCGAGAATCCCGTGGCGTGTTGCTGCTCGTCGCGCTGGCCGTGCTGGCAGCCGCGGACGCCTTCTCGACCGACAGTAAGTCCGCATTTTTTTCAGTCACAGTTACGGCGGAGAAACATTTTCGCTCTGGAGCGACAGCGAGCGAAAGGGGCCAGAGGCGCGAGGGGGTGATGGGGAGAGATCGGAGCGGAGGAGGCGGCGAGGGGAAGAGAGCTGGTCCTGAAGAGCCTGGCCCGTATACACCCAGCTGCGTCGCGGTCCTCGGAACAAAACTCGCGATTCGACTCGCGTTCATCTACGAAAGCCTTCTACGACGGTATCGCGACGTATCGACGAATTTTTCAGTTATGACTTCGTTCGCCTTTGCTGCGCTCTGTCCTCCCCCTCCTCCCGCTCCCTCCCACCGAGAGGCGCGTCAATGAGGGGCTCGCGGATTTTAACGTTCGCTCTCTTTTTTTTCTCTTCTGAGGGTGGGTTATTTGTCCACGCGTTATTTGATCAGCGCTGGATATCGGGAGGAGACAATCGATTTATTTACGACCGTAGTCTCGCGTACGTGCTATTATTGACTGTCAACGTCATCGCTACCGTCGTCCGATGTTAATGTGAGACGCGCGTCAGAGATTAATGGCATTGTGACATCGCGTATTATTTCGTAAGAGAAGAGGACAAGATCCTGCGAAGCCTCTGAAACAAAAAAAAAAACATGCCGGCGAGGAGATTCCATGGCGGCCGTTTCTCTCTCACCCCGAGTCTAGCTCCGAAAATTTCCACTCTCGTCGAGAACGCGCCGCAGAGATCGGATACTCTCGTCGTGTATTGAAAACCGAATTTTGAAAATCACATTATTACATCAAATTTGTATCGCGAAAATTAATAATGTTATAGTATCACGTTGAACTCGCGTCCCTGCGATTAATAACGTTAATCTAAATTAGGTTTAGGGTTTAGAGCATTTCCGAGGTGACTCGTGCGTCGCGCATTCGTGCGAGCGAAGCGCGTCGAGATCTTCACGTGTTCCCGTTCCGTTCGCGTCCCGATCGTTCGCAGCATCTCTCCGGACCGCGGGGACGAGCCCCCCGAAAAAGCGCCGCGGCCCGAGACGTTCGATTCAGCTGACGCGAAGTTGCACATTATTATGTAAGACCGATAGACACGACGTCGTCGGCGTCGTCGTCCCGTTTTGTCAACGGTCGCGCACACTCGCTCTTTTCCATTGAGCTATTGTGTACGTTTCTGTTTTTCGCCGAGACGAGATATGTATACATACATACATAGTAGGATGTTAACATGATTGACAGAAAACGGAGTAAAATGATAAGTCATTCAACGCCGCTTTGTTTTGATTTCCGCAATATTTGCAAGGCACGTGATATTCAAAATAAATAATATTTAGTCAACAAGCGCGTTATAGTTCCTGTTTCTTGCACGCGACATGTATGTACATATAAGTGAAAAATCGTCTCGTTACATTTTTAGTTTGATATGTAAAGGATTCCCGATTTTCTGACTTAATTCCGTCATCTGTCCGCAGATTTTTTGAAATTTTTTTCCGACATAATACAGAATTGGAGTTTTACTCGAGTATTTATATTTGCGCTTGTTAAGTATACACATATGTCATACCTCATACCTGATCACATAAATGCAGGTTAAATCAAGATTAGAGCATCCACGATACATCTGAATCTTTTTTCTTTTTACAAAGAGCAAAAGGAAAGGGAGAAAAGAAACTTTTCCCTGCACACATGCTTTTTTTATCTCGTACAGTTGTGAATACTCTGACATTTAAAAAATTAAGACCTGATTAATTCACCCCCTCTTTGAAGTTTAAAATTGTCTGATTGAATGTTTGATTTGAGTAATATTCTTAGGCATTGAAACGAGAGCACGAGCTAATTTTTTGTTCATCATATCGCATACAATATTAAATTCGACTTGATTTGAGTCATTTTTAATTATTCTTATAGATCGCCCCACTGCTCCTACTCAATGTGTCGGTAATTTAACTAAACCAACGGAGTTAAAATAATACTGTTTTGTGTTAATATAATAAATTTCGACACACATAGCAGTTAAAAATAACAAAATGTTATTTAACTCGAGATATTGGTTTAGATTTCATCCTTTGATGTTTAACATGTATATGGAGGGAAATAAAAACGTTAAAATTGTATTGCGAAAAATGAAAATCGAATCTGATAAAGCAAATTTGTTTCTCGATTTCTTTTGATCAAGGCTGTCGATTCGTCGTTTAATTTCTGAAATCGTAGTTTCGAAGAGCCGAGGGAATTGTTTCGACCAAGAAAATTTGTCAACGACAAATTTTGTGCGCTATTTTTCTGTTTGCGTTACGCGAGAGAACGCAGAGTACACTGTAAAAAAATTTTGTAAAATTACAACTATAGTGGATAATTTTGAGACCCACTATAACAGTTGTAATTTTACAAAATTACAGTACGGAAGGAAAAAGTAATTTTGAATTACAATTACACAAATTAAGAATGTGTGGAAATTTACACCTATTATAGTGGGTCTCAAATTACCCACTATAATAGTTGTAAATTTTACAAAAAATTTTTACAGTGTATAACTACCGGACCTATATAACGCGTTCGCAGAATATGTTTGGTACGCACCGCGGACAGAAACGAGACGCGCGCACACTAGTTACAGATATCCATCAGGCGCAATTAGCGTATAATGATTCTTCCGGCAAATCCAGGCGCCACGCAAACAAGCGTAACAGAATAGATCCCGTCGTCGTGGACGTTTATTTGATCGATTCTGACCGCGTACACACAACACACACACACACACAC